CCGTGGGGATCTTCGGACCCGTCTGCTCAACTGTGGTGGTCCTCAGCTCCACCTGCTCTGCCGGCCCCACTCTGGCTTCCTGCTTCGCCGGTTCTGCCTTGGTGCTCTGCTCTGCCAACTCTGCCTCAGTCCCCAGGCTCTCCACTTCCACGTGGACCTGGCCCTCCATCCCTCTCCCTGTTCCACCTTCGCTCCACCACCCTCCTGGATTTTACTGTTTTGGGGGGGGGGTTATGTCACGAATCCTGTCCATGGACTTCCGTTCGATCGCCACCAGAGGTCACCCTTCCGTTATATTGACTCTCACACTACACAAACTGTTGCATGTCATCTCGGACTACATATCCCATCATCCATTGCACTGATTGCACACAGCTGTAACCAATCACACATTCACTATATAACACCCACTCAGATCCTGCTCAAGTCGCCGAGTATTGTTTAGCGTTTATCACTGTGATAGCTGATAGCTACTTTACAGAGCCTGCTCTAGTTTTCAGTCTAGTCATAGTCTTGCCTGTTTTCCTGGTTCCTGATTCCCTTTGTCTTGCTTTTTCGGACTGTGTTTGCACCTCGCCTGGACTATTGCTTATGTTATTGGATTACCCCTCTTGTCAAGCCCTCTGGATACTGTTCGCCGATCGAAGACCCACGCTAGCCCTAGGAATATTCTTTGTCCTGCCTGTGATATACCTGTGTTATCTGACCCTTGCCTGTTTATTGACCACGCCTTTGTAAATAAAGCCTTGCACTTGGATCCTTACATCTCGTTCGCCCCGTAACACATACAGATTTAACTGATTTCTTTCATAACTTGCAGTGACTGCTTTAAAATATGAGACACCAATGTTTCAGGAGTTTAGTACACAGAATAGGACACATGCTCATTTAACTGTTTTATTCCTATTTGGGCTTGTGAATATGCTTTATTTTTTAAGATTAACTGTTTTTTCCAAGGCATTGATAGATGCCAGTGTTTCCTGTCATAGCTACACAAAGATTTGATTTCAAAAAGATTATCATAGCTACTTAACTATTTCTTGTTTTGGTTTTAAATCTGTATTTAACCTCAGAATGATCTCAAAGTAAGTCGATTTTGTGGTGGCTGTGCTTTAAAATTAAATTATTATAATCTTAATTCAAGTGCTGAAGGATTTTGAAAGTGACAGTAATCAGTGTTGAATACTACTGTAATGTTAACCCTGCCTGGCTTACATGTTTGAAAATGATTAACACTTGAAATTTTATTTAGAAAAGTAATCATAAAAGTTATCAAATGTAATCAGTTACATTACTTTAATAAAGTAATTGAAATAGTTAAACTACTTATTACATTTTAGATAGGGTAACTTGTAATCTGTAACCTATTACATTTCCAAAGTAACCTTCCCAACACTGGTCACTGATGCACAATGATGCACAAGACTTATATTCATCAACGACGTGACATTTATAATGTTAGAAAATATTTCTTTGTCAAATAAATGCTGTTTTGAACATCCTATTCGTCAAAGAATCCTGTACATTTCAGCTGACGTACATCACACACGCATGTATGGAGTTGAAAGGGGGGAACAAGCGGATGATGTTCGACCCGTGGCTCATAGGACCAGCGTTTGCGAGGGGCTGGTGGCTCCTTCACGAACCTCCGTCTGATGCCATGGACAGACTCAGTCAGGCCGATCTCATTTACATCAGCCACATGCATTCAGATCACCTGAGGTTAGTGTCTGATCCACCATACTGTATTGTATTGTGTTGTGTTGAATTGTATTGTATTGTATTATGCCACTAAACTGTACATTTTAAATGCACTTTTTTTTCTGTTAGCTACCCAACTTTGCAACGTCTTTCCAAGAAGCGTCCAGATATTCCCATTTATGTTGGAGACACTTCACGGCCGGTGTTTTGGTGAGACTGAAGTCTAGAGGAGAGTTTGCAACATTAAAATAAATGAAGGAAGATGCACACTTAATCAAAAGTAAAACTGAAATAGCGATATTAAATTGAGCGGATGTTATGGCTATCGCACTTCTAACTATTATTATTCTGGTAATGTAAAAACAGGTAGTATGCACAATCAACTTCTCAAAGACAAATTGGTAACACTTTATTTTAAGGTGTTCTTGTTACACATGTTACATGTACTTACTATTATAATAACAATAATAAACCCTAATCCTAACCCTAACCATATAGGCTACATGAAGTTAATTAATATTACTCAGTTCTCAAATGTATAATTACACTGTAACAAGGACAACTTAAAATAAAGTGTAAAGGTCTTTCTCGACCTAAATTTTTCGACGTTAAAAAATAAATACGACCTCATGTTGTGTCAATCACATTTACACACTGCCTCCAAAACTTTCGTCCATCATAAAAAATAAAAAAATCGGACCAGGTTTGATTTTCTGCGTTTTTGCATCAATAGCAAGCATTTTGATAGGAAAGGATGACGAATACGAAAAAAAAAACACATTGGAGTTTTTAAACATAGATTTTTCCCGCCTTTTTGTTTTTCAAATCTGTAACTGCCAATGCAATTATTATAATCTTAATTCAAGTGCTGAAGGATTTTGAAAGTGACAGTAATCAGTGTTGAATACTACTGTAATGTTAACCCTGCCTGGCTTACATGTTTGAAAATGATTAACACTTGAAATTTTATTTAGAAAAGTAATCATAAAAGTTATCAAATGTAATCAGTTACATTACTTTAATAAAGTAATTGAAATAGTTAAACTACTTATTACATTTTAGATAGGGTAACTTGTAATCTGTAACCTATTACATTTCCAAAGTAACCTTCCCAACACTGGTCACTGATGCACAATGATGCACAAGACTTATATTCATCAACGACGTGACATTTATAATGTTAGAAAATATTTCTTTGTCAAATAAATGCTGTTTTGAACATCCTATTCGTCAAAGAATCCTGTACATTTCAGCTGACGTACATCACACACGCATGTATGGAGTTGAAAGGGGGGAACAAGCGGATGATGTTCGACCCGTGGCTCATAGGACCAGCGTTTGCGAGGGGCTGGTGGCTCCTTCACGAACCTCCGTCTGATGCCATGGACAGACTCAGTCAGGCCGATCTCATTTACATCAGCCACATGCATTCAGATCACCTGAGGTTAGAGTCTGATCCACCATACTGTATTGTATTGTGTTGTGTTGAATTGTATTGTATTGTATTATGCCACTAAACTGTACATTTTAAATGCACTTTTTTTTCTGTTAGCTACCCAACTTTGCAACGTCTTTCCAAGCAACGTCCAGATATTCCCATTTATGTTGGAGACACTTCACGGCCGGTGTTTTGGTGAGACTGAAGTCTAGAGGAGAGTTTGCAACATTAAAATAAATGAAGGAAGATGCACACTTAATCAAAAGTAAAACTGAAATAGCGATATTAAATTGAGCGGATGTTATGGCTATCGCACTTCTAACTATTATTATTCTGGTAATGTAAAAACAGGTAGTATGCACAATCAACTTCTCAAAGACAAATTGGTAACACTTTATTTTAAGGTGTTCTTGTTACACATGTTACATGTACTTACTATTATAATAACAATAATAAACCCTAATCCTAACCCTAACCATATAGGCTACATGAAGTTAATTAATATTACTCAGTTCTCAAATGTATAATTACACTGTAACAAGGACAACTTAAAATAAAGTGTAAAGGTCTTTCTCGACCTAAATGTACGCACTTTAAAAAATAAATACGACCTCATGTTGTGTCAATCACATTTACACACTGCCTCCAAAACTTTCGTCCATCATAAAAAATAAAAAAATCGGACCAGGTTTGATTTTCTGCGTTTTTGCATCAATAGCAAGCATTTTGATAGGAAAGGATGACGAATACGAAAAAAAAAACACATTGGAGTTTTTAAACATAGATTTTTCCCGCCTTTTTGTTTTTCAAATCTGTAACTGCCAATGCCACCTTATAATTAAATATAAGGAGGTGGCTTTGGCAGTTACAGATTTGAAAAAAAACTAAATGGCGGGAAAAATCTGTAACTGCCGATGTCACCTCACTGTAACTATAAAGAAGTGACTTTGGCAGTTACAGATTTGAAAACAAAACGGGAAAAATAAAGGGCGGGAAAAATACATTTTACATATTTCAGTTTTTCTACTTCAAAAGTTTACATTTAATTCAATGTGTCACTTCCTGTTTCTTTGTAATAATTTGTGAAATTTACTAGCAATTTTCAAGTGAAAATAGTTTCAAAACCAATGTGTTTTTCAGTGTACATTCTTCACATCTAAGGGTTTGAACTAGAGGCATTTTGTTTTTGTTGCAGGTATCTGGAGAAAAGTAGAGTGAATTTAACAAACATAAACGTGGTGCCGTTCGGCGTGTGGCAGAATGTATGTTTTTGTTTTTCTTTTCTTTTTTTCATGTGTTATTTTTCTTGATTTTGGCTTTCCTATTATTCGAAAGGTCAATGAACACCTGCGATTTATGATTCTGATGGACGGAGTTCATCCTGAGATGGACACCTGCTTGATCGTGGAGTATAAAGGTATTTTGCTGCTCATTTAGAGTGTGTTGCGTGACATTTTGCTGTTCAGCCTCTGTTTGAGGAAGGGCAAACATCTTAACATGTAAACAACAAAACAATATAACAACAAAGCAGGAAACAGAAAGAGGTTTGGCAGCATTCTGCCTTTAGCGTGTTGTCTCTTAGTTTGCAGCGTGAGAAAAAGCCAACAAAAAAAAACCTTATGTTGCATTTGTCACGTTCGCTACTGTGAGGAGCTCGGAGACGAGGAGTGGAATTCAAACATATAGGCTTTAATGAACTTCCAGGGAACAAGAAAAACACATGTAGCAAGGGTAGACATATACAATTCTGGACAAGGGAGAACAGAACGGGCTAGAACTCAAATAGGGCAGATAACGAGGGGCAGACAGGTGAGGAGGATAACTAATAACAAGGAACACCTGGAACTAATAGAACTAAATGGGGACAGGAACCAGAAGGACAAAATAAGGGCAAGGAAGGCACATGGGGAGCAAAACACACACAAAACAAAGAACAGAGTCTGAGGGGGGGTGGGCGCCCTGGAGGCTGGTGCAGGACTGGGACACGGGGAATACCTCCAGGGCAGATCAGGTAGTCCAGGGTGCCATGGCGGCACAGGGAGCTCAGGGGCCATGGCGGATCAGACAGTTCAGGAGGCCACGGCGGAGCAGGGAACTCAGAAGGCCATGGCTGGACAGCCTTCGTTGCCTTGGCCTCGCCACTCGGCCCGGCCACTACGGACGGACCCATACCCATACCATACCCCCCCCCCAAAAAAAATCCTTGGGGGAGAATATCATCTTTAGAGGCCCTCTGTAGGCCTAACTCGGGAACAGTGGCCCTTGACATGGGAACTGGAGCCTTCTCTGGGTTAAACTCGGGGACTGGAGCCCTCACTGGGCTACACTCGGGGACTGGAGCCCTCACTGGGTTAAACTCGGGGACTGGAGCCCTCACTGGGCTACACTGCACTGAACATTTCACAATTTTACCTTATTTGTGAGTACATTTTTGAAGAAAAAAAAAACTCAATTACTCCAATGTTTCGACTGTAGTGTAACATTGATGTATGAAATGTATGATAAGAACACTTGAACATGACTAACAGGTACATAAAGGAGACGAACAGCAAGAACAGCGCAGCAGATCTGAATGAATCGATAAGGAAGAGCTGTCCGAACATCTTAACCTGGACTCCTGTACCCGGATCAGTCCTGGATTTGGCCCTGGCACTAAATGACCCATCCAACAGGTACGTTCACACGGCTTTACATTACCATTAGTATGCAGCATTTGAGCACGTTGATGTAGCTTGAGTGCATTAGACTAAAAGGGTCTCAATAAATAAATAAATAAAGCATTAATATTTTCATGAAAAGCAAACATTATGCAAAAACACTAACATGACATCAGTGTTATTTTAGTATTACTGAGATACTATACTGTAACTTTTTTTTTGTATTTTAATTTGACTTAAGTTTTATTAATTGTGTATTTTGTTTTTGTCATTTGTATTAGTTATTTTAAAATGTGTATGTTGTTTTTATTCATTTTTATTTGCTTTAGTTTTTCTAGTCACATTTAATGCAAATGAGAAATGTTGCCTTGGCAGCTGAAATAAAATAAGTTAAACTTCGTATATTTGTGTTTATTAACAATATTTATTATTATTTATTAAAACGCAAATATAAGTATCATTATTTTGATTAATAGTTACTATTAAGATTTTTAAATTGTATTATTAATAATAATTTTCTGTTCATCAAAGAATCCTGAAAAAATGTATCATGTTTAATTGTGAAATAAGTTGTGACATAAAAGTTGAACTTTTTTCATATTTATTTTATTTCAGTTAACCAAACTGAAAGAATTATTCATTTTTAAAACTGTTTTCATTTAATATATTTTTTTATGTTATTATTTTTAGTTCTCGTTTTAACTATAATAATCCTGAATATTTATGCAATTTTTTCATTTATATTTAACTATTTATCTACAAACATATTTAATGCAGTCTCTTTTGCATTTTTATTTATGCATGCATCTGTTTAATTTCCATTTCATATTAAAATGTTCATTAGCATGTTGCATGTGAGAATTATGTTGGAGTCTGTTATTATTTCTGCCTGTTTTCCATCAGCATGATTTTCTTTTCTGGTTTTAATATCATAACCATAGGAGAGTCATCACTGAGCCGCCCAACGGCACAAAGATCTATAAGGACAGTTGGGACTTTGACTTGTATTTGGATGAACTGAATGCTTCCGTTTCAGCTGAAATCTTTAAATACAAAAGCTGGATCCAGTACTATTATAACTGGGCAGGATTTAAAGACTACAATCTGGTCATTCGGGTAAATCATATATTTCATAACCGAACTGCTGGTGGATTTCACACATAAAGCAGCCTCATGCACAAACAAACCCATAAACTGATGCAATAAACTGTTTTCCCATCAGGTCACTGAGACGGATGATGATTTCAAGCCTCTGAAAGGAGGTTATGACTATCTGGTGGACTTTCTGGATCTTTCTTTCCCAGCCGCGCGTCCGGAGAGAGATCACGCGTATGAGGAGGTACAGACTGAGCAGCATGAGATGCACGCTGAAGTTTAATACAAACTGATAAATCAAATGTGTGCGTTTCAGATCAAGAACCGAGTTAATGTGATGAGACACGTGGTTCTGAACGGCCGGCTGTGGGACGACCTGTACATCGGCTTCAATAACAGAATGAGTCGAGATCCTGATGTTTACCACCACAAGTAAATACACACGAACAACATCATCACAAGATGAAACAGAAAAATACATAAGAGTGCATTAGTCATGTATCAAGTGAAAATATAGTCAATTCAAAGCCCAAAATCCAGGAATGTAATCATTTAGCATGTTGTTTACATGGTATCCTGAAGTATTCTTCGCAAATGAAGCTTTTAACATAAAAAATATTCAAAATGTTTTTACCTATGGACATCTACAGTAATCCATAGGTAAATAAAGTCGGTCTATAATATTATTTCTCACCATTTCATATCATATATTTTTTTTATTGGCAGATTCTGGAATCGTTTTCAGACAGAATTGCCACTATTGCAAATGTTTTAAAATACTTATATTTAGCTTCATTTTTTTCCCCTCAGTTTTAGAACTTTAGTCATTTTAGTACTTCAATTTAACCTTGTTTTGTTTCAGTTTGTATTTTTTTTTTTTTACATTTTCATCAAGCATTTATATTTTATTGTAGCCTTGTTTTTAATAGTTTTAAAACAATAACAACACTGATAGGTTTCTTGAAGCATCTTAGAGATGTTGCCACAGTTCTTCTGGATTTAAGACCTGTGTTTCAGTTTGTTATGTTTCTTCATGTGATTCCAGACAGACTGGATGATGATGAGATGTTTGGAAATGGAAACTGATATTTCCTACTGACACACTATAGCAAAAGATAGAAATAACTTAAAACCAATTTTTAGCTGGTGAAAATACTAGAGTTCGAATCATTTTGGCCACCACTGTATATATTTATATTTTTCCTCTTGAAGTGGTGGATGCAGGAGTGGGTTGTTCTTGTAAAGATGTTTAACAGTTTTTCACCCGTCATCTTTTCAGCCGTGGCTGTTACGCCTCTTAGTAATTGGCCCTGTTGTCAGTTTTTCAGGTTGGTTGACAGTTTGTTCTTTGTTTTTCTTTTTACGTTGAAGCCTTTCGTTGTTAGCAACCCAGAGAACCTGTGGTTCTTTTTGATCTAATTTCAGATGCCTCTCTTCAATCCACATTATTCATGGTGGTTAAGAGTGAAATTAAGATTGCCTCAAGGGATCAACCATGTAATTAAGAGACAAAAAATAATAATCTCTTACAGTAAAAGGGAACAAGCTCACATTGCTAATTTACAGGAAACCCATCTGACTGAAAACAGAACACCTGAAGGGCAGACGAGGATGAGTGGGTCAGGTTTTCTAATCCTCTTTCAATTCTCACAGTAGAGTTGTAGCAATCTTAATTTATAAGAAGTTCAACTTTAGGTTTGAGGAAATTATAAAAGATACAGGAGGATGTTACATTCTAATTCTTGGCCAGCTTTTTGGAGAAAGGGTCCTTATCGGAAGTGTGTATGCTCCAAATTTGAACCAACTTTTTTCTCTGAATTCATTGCCAGTATTTCATCTTTTTCTGTTAATCACATCATTCTCGGAGGAGACTTGATGGAGGAGCCATGAACTGCCTTTTTATTATTTTGTACTGTTCACTGAGGTCCACTTATTATATCAAGATTTTTACATAAAAGAAACATCATAATTTAGAAGTAATAGGCTATTTTCTGTCCTGTGTTAACCCCTCATCAGAACGCTCTGTTTGAATAGGCATGGCGGATTGTATACTCGGAAATAAACGCCCACTGCTATGATTGGCTAATAGTTGTGTAAGTTCAACAGTGACACTCCTCACAGATGGTCGCTGCTGTGATTTAGGTCAAAAACGCATAACTCAATACATATCAACCGATCTGTAAGAAAAGACAAAGCAATAATGATCACGTAATGAAAACAGTTACACACTTGTGTTGCGACATTACAGCATCATCTTTTAGTTTCTGTCTTTCTGAAAATCGCGTGTTGAATTGTGCCTTGTTTGTAAACAATCCGTGGTAAAATAAAGTGAACAAAGACCGAGTTCTTACTGATGAGGTCTGGATCTTCATTAAAAATAAAGTTCATTCACGCTTTCCTAACGTTAGGATCAGAATCCCGCGGCACAAAACAGCATCACAACACAGAAGACTTCACCTCCTCCTGGCGACCAGGTGATGACGCTGTCCCCAGACAGCGTGAGGAGCTCCCTCAGCAGGATCAACACACGCAAAGCCCCGGGTCCTGACAACATTCCTGGGCGTGTATTGAGAGACTGTGCAGAGGAACTGACTGATGTCTTCACAGGCATTTTCAACATCTCGCAATGTCAGGCTGTTGTCCCCACATGCTTCAAATCTACCACCATCACTCCAGTCCCGAGGAAGTTGTCTCCATCCTGCTTCAATGACTACCGTCCAGTTGCACTTACTCCTATTCTCATGAAGTGCTTTGAATGGCTATTCATGCACCACATCAAGTCTGTCCTCCCCCCTCCCTGGACCCCTTCCAGTTTGCATATCGGCCCAACCGCTCTATCGATGGCGCCATCACCACTGCCCTCCATCAGCCCTCACACATCTGGACAAAGAAGACTCATATGTCAGAATGCTGTTCATAGACTTCAGCTCAGCATTCAACACAATCATCCCTCAACAGCTCATTCACAAACTGGTCCAGCTGGGGCTCAACACTTCGCTGTGCAACTGGCTGTTGAACTTCCTGACTGGGAGACCTCAGGCAGTATGGGTTGGCAGTAGCACATCCAGCACCATCACACTGAACACAGGGGCCCCACAAGGATGTGTGCTGAGCCCCCTCCTCTTCACTTTGCTGACCCACGACTGCACACCGTCTCACAACTCCAACATCTTCATTAAATTTGCGAACAACACAACTGTGGTGGGTCTCATTAGCAACAGAGATGAGACAAACTACAGGAGCGAGGTGAGCCGCCTGGCCGGGTGGTGCAGTGACAACAATCTCTCTCTGAATGTGGAGAAAACGAAGGAGATTGTTGTTGACTTCAGGAGAATGCGCACTCAGCGTGCTCCTCTGACCATCAACAGTGCGACTGTGGAGAGAGTGAGCAGCACCAAGTTCCTGGGTGTGCACATCACAGAGAACATCTCCTGGACTAACAACACTGCAGCTCTGGCCAAGAAAGCACAGCAGAGTCTACTTCCTCCGTAAACTTAGAAGAGCCAGAGCCCCGGCCCCGCATCATGGTGAGCCGCCTGGCCGGGTGGTGCAGTGACAACAATCTCTCTCTGAATGTGGAGAAGACGAAGGAGATTGTTGTTGACTTCAGGAGAATGCGCACTCAGCGTGCTCCTCTGACCATCAACAGTGCGACTGTGGAGAGAGTGAGCAGCACCAAGTTCCTGGGTGTGCACATCACAGAGAACATCTCCTGGACTAACAACACTGCAGCTCTGGCCAAGAAAGCACAGCAGAGTCTACTTCCTCCGTAAACTTAGAAGAGCCAGAGCCCCGGCCCCGCATCATGTGCACCTTCTACAGAGGCACCATTGAGAGCATCCTGACTAGCTGCTTCACTGTGTGGTATGGCGCCTGCAACGCGTCCTGCCGCAAGACCCTCCAACGCATAGTGAGAGCAGCTGAGAAGATGGTTGGTGTCTCTCTCCTCCCTCCAGGACATTTACAACACCCGTCTCACCCGCAAAGCCCTCTGCATTGCAGGTGATCCCACCCACCTGACACACAGCTTCTTCAGTCTGCTGCCATCAGGGAGGAGACTGCGGAGTCTCTGGGCCAGGACCAGCAGACTGAAGGACAGCTTCATCCACCAGGCAGTCAGGAAGCTAAACTCCCTCCCGAACTTGCCCCCCCCCTCCCCTCTTTTACCCCATGCACCACTGAACTCTGACCCACCGACCACACTGTGACCCACACCAGTCACTTTGTGTAGCATTGGACTGCTCACTACCTCATTCAGCATTGGACTGACCTCATTCAACTGCCTCTTCTGACAGTTTAAATAAAGACTGCTCTCTGAGCTTTTTGTCACTTTAATCAGACTGATAAGCTCTTTTGCACTACAATCATTATATCTGCACTGTTTGTTTATTTCACTGGTTTGGACTCTATCTGCCATGTGCCTTGTGCTACTTTATCTTTTTTTTTTTTTTAAATGTCCTTATTTGTATATTTGTATAGTTGTATTTTATACATATTTAATCTGTATTTATATGTTCTACTGTTAGTGTTAACTGTATGCACCAAGGGTCTGAGAGTAACGCAATTTCAATTCTCTGTATGTATGTGCTGTACATGTGGAAGAATTGACAATAAAGCAGACTTTTTCCTCAGCTTGGCACTGCACAGCGTCTTCTTGTCTTCGGAGCATCTTTATTGGTTGGTTTCTGCTTAGACCTGCATTCCCCTCTCGTTCTTTACGTGCGCAAATCAGTGGGAAGGGCTAAACAGGCAGCAATGTAGAATCGGTGGGCGGGGCTAAACAGGCAGCGATGTAGAAGTAGGTGTTGATCTTCTGCGGAGGCGGTGCTTATCCACACTATTACATCATAGAGTAGAACATTCCACAAGCTGTCGTTTTGGCAGACTGCCTTCAATATAAGCGGTTTTTACTAACGACAAAGTTTTGAGTTCTGAAACTTACAGGATGTTTTTATAGTACAATGACTTCTTATATGTTAAAAGATCAAGGGAATTTTGGTTTCTCAGTTCATGGCAGATTCATAAAGTATGTTTTTAACTATAGAAATCAGATGCACTTTGCAGATTCATGTGGTCCATAATATCTGTTGTTGTTTTATTGGCAGGTTCTGGAATCACTTTCAGACAGAACTGCCTCTATCAGCACCAGACTGGGATCGTTTCCTTCAGATTGCCTGTGAAACGGACGTGCCAAACGAGAGCAGTAATGGCTGCGCTCTATCTTAACACAAACACACACACATCACAGTTATCTGTGTCATTTTTCTGGATCACAGCGCTGTTTACGTGGTTTTGAGGGTCTGAGGGGTTTGAATCTGATGCTGCTCTATCACTTCTGCTTAATAACTGTAAGACAAAGACAAACACTACTTGAACAACCCCAGTGAGCACAGCTAGAGGCTAATATTTATGAAGTTTCTCTGGAATACTTGATTCTGTGCTCAAATATGCAATATTTTTGTATAATGATGCTACGATTGTTTGTTTTCCCTGGAATCAGATTTTCATAATGGCAGTTTTATGTCTCTTTACATCAGGTTACTATATCACTGGCATGTATTTCTTATTTATGAAATGTGTTTGGGATGGATTTTTTTTTTTTTTGGTTGTTGGTATCTGATTTTTTTTATCCTAAATCCCTAATGAACAGTAATCAGGTTGAGTTATTAAACACTGGAACGAGATTTTAATTGCATTATAAGCAACTATTTTAATGAATAAAAAAAATGAATGTAAAAAAGCATTTCACAAATAATGTGTTTGTCTGAGACCACATTGAAAACCTGTGACTTTCTCATCTAATCATTAATCATTAAATCTCATTTAAACCCAGAAACAGAAAAAAAGAAAGAAAAAAGAGACATAAAATAAGGAAGAAATATATCATATTAATCTTTTCACACAAATGTATATAATTATGTAAATTTGTAGTATACAAATATAATTATGAAAAAAATTTCATTTTCAGTGACAAAAAGGATTTTCGCATTTTGTTTTAGATTTTTAAATACCACTGGAAAATAACATTAATATGTACATAAATGTACTAAAATAGAATATTTATAAAATAAATATACTGCAATAGCCTAGATGTCAGTGCTGTTTTAGTTTTATCTTAATTATAACTTCTGATATTATAGTGCTCAATATACTGAAATAGCTTATATTTTTTATATTTTAGTTTTTATTTTAATTTGAGTAATTTTAATGTCATTTTGTCATTTTTTAGTTTTATTTTATTTTTTATTATATTTCTATTTAGCTTTTTTTGTTGTTTGTTTGTTTTAGTTTTAGTAATTTTAGTACTTCAATTTAAACTTATTATATTTCAGTTAGCTGCCCAGGCTTATATATATATTTTTTTTTTTTTTTTTTTTTT